TCCAGTTCCCTCACCATACATCCAGTCCCCTCACCATCCATCCAGTCCCCTCACCATCCATCCAGTCCCCTCTCCATCTATTCAGTCCCCTCACCATCCATCCAGTCCCCTCACCATCCATCCAGTCCCCTCACCATCCATCCAGTCCCCTCTCCATCCATTCAGTCCCCTCACCATCCACGCAGTCCCCTCACCATCCACGCAGTCCCCTCACCAACCATCCAGTCCCCTCACCATCCATCCAGTCCCCTCACCATCCATCCAGTCCCCTCACCTTCCATCCAGTCTCCTCACCATCCATCCAGTCCCTTCACCATCCATTCGGTCCCCTCACCTTCCATTCAGTCCCCCTCACCATCCAACCAGTCCCTTCCCCATCCATCCAGTCCCCCCACCATCCATCCAGTCCGCTCACCATCCATCCAGTCCCCACACCATCCATCCAGTCACCCAACCATCCATCCAGTTCAACGCCATCCATCCAGTCCTCACATCATCCATCCAGTCCCCTCACTATCCATCCAGTCTCCCAACCATCCATCCAGTCCCCCAACATCGATCCAGTCCCTTCACCATCCACCCAGTCCCCACACCGTCGATCCAGTCCCCTCACTATCCATCCAGTCTACCAACCATCCATCCAGTCCCCTCACCATCCATCCCGTCCACCTAGCATCTATCCAGTCCCCACACTATTTATCCAGTCCCCCTCACTATCCATCCAGTCCCCCAGCATCCATCCAGTCCCCACACCATTTATCCAGTCCCCTCACTATCCATCCTGTCTCCGAACCATCCATCTAGTCCCCTCACCGTCCATCCAGTTCCCCCACCATCCATCCAGTCCCCTCACCATCCATCCAGTTCCCCCACCATCCATCCAGTCCCCACACCATCCAGCCAGTCCCCTCAATATCCATCCAGTCTCCCAATCATCCATCCAGTCCCCACAGCATCCATTCAGTCCCCACACCATCGATTCAGTCCCTCACAACATTCATACATCCCGTTCCCCCGCAATCCTTCCACTGTCCATACATCTAGTTCCCCCTGCATCAATGAATTCCCCCCCCCCCTTCCATGCAGCCCTTCCCATGCCTACTTCCAGGTTCCCCCCCCCCTCCTTCTATCTAAAAAACCAGTTCCCCCACATCTGTCTATACATCCAGTTCCCCCACCATACATCAAGTCCCCCCCCCGATCCATACATCTAGTTCCCCCACAATCCATCTATCCATCCAGTTTCTCCACCATCCACACATCCAATTTCCCCACCATCCATCCAGTCCCTTCACCTTTCATCCATCCAGTACCCCCATTACTCATACTTCCAGTTCCCCCACCATCCATCTAATCAGCCACCCCCCCCCCCCATCCATACTTCCATTCCCCCCCCCCCCCCCCCCCACCATCCATCCATCCAGTCCCCCCACCATCCATACTTTCAGTTCCCCCACTATGCATATTAACATTCTCCCCGACATCCATCTATCCAGTCCCCTTACCATCTATCCTTCCATTCCTCCCCACCATCCATCCATCCAGTCCCCGGCCCATCATCCATCCTGGTACCATCACAACTGTAACTAAATCTTTAGCGACATTTTAAACCCTCCAGATATAGTGGAGTCAGAATTTAACGACTTGTGTATATCCCCATATTGGTCGTTAATTAAATCGACTAGATACTAAACCAGCGCTTCCTACTCCGAAACGAACGTCTTACAGCAGGACAGTTTTTACGACGAAATTGTCGTCATACACTGAAAAATTCGTACTCGGGGGCAATCTTACACCAAGGTTCCATCGTAGTTGGTAAGTTTGAGTTGAGGCAGTGATACAGGGCCACTCTCACGATACACTAAAGTTTTACTAAAAGCTATGTATCTTTTCACGTGTGGATCGTCAACGTTATTAGATTTGTGCCCCAGCACTGCCTGATAATTTCATGTATATGTGAGACACTTATCACTGGTAAATGAGAACTATGGACGTAGAAAGTCTGAAAACACGGGAGTGGTGTACTGTCTGCCCACCGCCTACACCATTATTGTCATGACTTTTATAAGTGGTTACACAGTTTTGGATTCTGAATTTCACAAATGTAATTGTTTTAAATCACTGATAAATGTTGCTTCTAAATCTAATTCTTGAGTATACAGTTTATAATTACAGATATCACATGTTATCTTATTATGATTTTCTCTTAGGTAAATAAGTTACTGTAAATTAACCCAACATTAAATGTATCAGCATTTATGAGTAAAGTATTAAAAATTGAATTTGACAAAGCATATTAGCAGGTAATTCGCACTACTGCATATAGGATGATAATTTTGTGTCTCCAACCTATGGAAGTATTTACCAGGTTACCAGGTCCAGATTCCTGTCCTTAAAGTCACATAACACCTGGCCTAACATTTCATCTTTCGGAAAAAAATTTCTGTGCCATAAACAGATTTCGCGTAACTTGGCCTAGAACAACTTTTACACCGCCCGATGCAAAGGGGTTTATCTAATATAATGTTATCTTGAGATCACTGTACTAAAATTTCTGTTAATTAGCAATCATGCAAGCTGGACCTTTCAATGCTTCAAATTGTAGTTTGACACCTGCAGTACATTCCCATATATAGAGTTTATAGTCATCTAAATTCATTTATTTTGAAAACTGAATCTATATTGATCAGGTCCCTGTGTTGTAACTATTAGTTTGCTATGTTCTTAGCAAAATACCCGTGATCACACTTTCCAATCAAAACAACATTTTCCTCAATTAATAGCATCTTCCTTCACTTTTTATCATTTTAGACTGATATATGTTGTTTATAAACATTATTATATACCGGACCGGACCCAACCCAAAACCGGACCACAGCATATCATATGGAGCCAAACGAGATGATGAAATGCCTCAAATGCATAGCGCGAGATTCCATACCTCGCAAGATCCTACAAGGACAATATAAAAATGGCACAGTGTTTTTCTCCATTGACTCTATATGATTTTCCATCACCTGCATTTTTACATGTAATTAAGTGTTATGTTAAATAGTAACTGTTCATTTTTACATTGCCATATTATTTATTTTATATTTTACTTATTATTATTTTCTAATTGATTAGGTGATTTTAAAGTGTAAAGATGGGGTGCAAAATACGATCTGGATATGTAAAACTTCCTTGTATATTAAAAATAAACTTAAAAATTATAAGCAAACTACTTACAGACATCATTTAAGATCAGTGAATATAAAGAACAGGAACAATCTCATTACAAATAAATGTTTTGAAACAATACACCAGACCCAAATCATGATTTACTACTTCTAGTGTTCCAAGGTTAGAGTATGGAAATTCTAACCTTGGAACTAAGTATTTTTAGTTGATGTCATTTAATAGACAAGTAAAACAAATATGATTTACCACAGTCCACTTTTTAGACTCATTTTGTAACACTGCTTACAGTTGTAGTGCTTGATTCATCTCAGCACTCAGAAGATTTATCAGGGTGTTTCCAGTATCATGTTTAACATAAACACAAGAACAACGACGTAAACAGAACACGCATAGTGCTTCTTGAGCAAGACGGAGACCAAGACTTGGCTGCTTCACATACTTGCAGAAAAGTTTAATTAAAGCACGCACTGCCTTAATGTCCTTTTCAGAGTTACTGCCTTCTTCCAAGATGTTTTTATTAGCAATTAAAAAATCCTCATGAACCTTTTGCATTTTCTTGCTGATGAGCCTGTAATTATAAGGGGCTCGTCCCTGCATGCCACCTTTATCATAGTTCAGATTGCAATTAGGGCAAACTTTTGTACGTGGGTTGATACCTTCTCCTTCATTACATTTGGTGCATTTTATAATATAGAATGTTGGCCATTCCCAGATAGTTGGCCAGTTATTTTCACAAGCTTCACAAGTACAACTGAATTTGAAATGAGTCATCAGTTTTAACCTCCTGGAATCTCTTGTGTCTACAGCAACATCTAATCCATATGAGAAGGTTAATGGCTTGCCAGCGGGGATGAACAGTATTGCTCTTACTAGCAAAGTTGTGCCATACCAAAAATCACTACAATTTGGATTGCAGGAGTGATTCAGAAGGCTTGATGCAGAGTGAACTCCCCTGCCACATAATTCCATCTGACGCTCCTTATGGCCATTCACATTAAACTAGAAATAAAAAATATAGTATATATTAGCAATATGCACTATGTCAAGGAGGAAAACTGCAAACAAAAATGTTAGCCTATTTAAGTATACTTAAATGTAATATGAAATGCAATGGTTATTACATGGAAAACATAAATATTAAAATAATAAGTCCAATCAGGAAAACAAGTGCCAAAGGTGGTGGTACTGTATGCTGAGGTAAGGCTAGAGAACAAAATAACAATAAACTGAAAGGCTTACGATGGGAATTGCAATGCAAAGACTATTGCAATGGAGGACCATCATATGATGGATGAGTGTGCTGCCAGTCAGGACTATGTCTTCATGACTTGGAGTGAAGGGCTCACCATCACAACTGATGAAGTAGCGACCACTCAGCAACAGAAGTTTAGTTACAACAAAAGCCTCCATGCACCTGACAAATAGTTCATGTCCAGGTATCTTTTCTTTGTTGGTTGTCAGGTGATACACTGCACTATAATCTGATGAATCATAGACACCATTTTTATTGAATCCAAGATTCTTGAGAGGCTGGTCTTTGGTCTCACATTGAAGTAGTGGTATCATCTCCTTGAGCTTTGCATGAGAGGTCTTAATCATTAATCTGTATGCCAATGCAAGAAAACTTTTAATGTCCAGTAGACGCAGGGTTGACACAATAGGGCATTCTTGCCAATGGATGCTTGATAATCCCTGTTTCTGACACTCCTCGCTACAAAATATCACCTAAAAATAAAGGACATCAATAATTTTAAAGAAGTACTCTGCTACAGACTAAATATATTTTACAATTCTACCTACAATATTAGCTCAACCCCCCAATTATTTTTTAACTTAAAAATGTAATGTAACTGACTTTACTATGAATGCAGGTCTGATTTCCTATCCTAACTGGTGTGTAACTATGATATGTAGACAGATGGAGACTGAAATACAGGGTACTAATCAACAATATATGTAATCGTGTTAAGTTACTGTGTCAGATTTGTTATCGAGACAGTCAGGACACTGCTCATCTTCCAACAGAATGTTTAGTGTATTAAGAATCAATATGATGAACGTTGTTGGTCCCGCTTCTGTCTCCAGAGTAAATGGGCAAAGTCCACCACCACCAAAAGAAAATAACCGCCACAGGATAAGTTCTAGTTATTCTCTGGTGGCTTTGAGATTATGCACTATGACATAATAAGGCCTTTATCACAGAATACTGCTCCCACCTCATTTACATCTACTAGTTCTCCAAGGAGCCTATGGTAATCATTTGATCTGAATCACAGCCAAGTCAATGGCTCATGCATATCCCTCCATTTGCATTGCTCAATTTGGCAAATCCTCCATCGTTGCTATCGTCACAGACCAAGGATGCCAGTTCAACTTCCACCTGCAGACGGACTGCCTGTAATTCCTCGGCGTCACCCAAAATCGGAACACAGCCTATCATCTGGAGTCCAACAGGATGACGGAACGCCCAGATGCCTAGCACGACAATTTATCTCTGGTCGTTCTTGGTATCCGTCCAGTGACGGATACCAAGGGATACCAAGGGATACGACAGACATCAGGGATTTAGCAGTAAATATCACATTTTAGATAAGCCAATGGTCACTATGAAAGAAAATTTGCTCAAAATATTCAGAAATATCCCAAGTTCTTTTATGCTTATAAGGAGTAAAACCTTGAAAATGAGACCAAACAAAAGTTACACTTGATTATAAAAGGCAGCCAATACTGAATGAATACCTTGCATAAATATTTACATTCGAGAGGTTAGACGACATATAAACAATAACTTATATGTTTTAAGCATACAAGAATGAGTTCATGGAAATACCCATAATGGGCAAAATAATCAGGAAGAACATTGACAAATTAACTGAATCTAAAGCTCCAATTGTGGGTGAAATTCAATCCTCAAAAATTGTAAACCAGCAATTGGAAAACCCGTACCACTGTAAGTCTTATTCAGAAAATCTTTAAACCAAGGTAATGTCGCCTAGATTGAAAATATTCAAATGCCACCCCCATCCGTAGCCAACTCCAAAACCGTTTTTAAATAAATACATGGAGAAATACTGAAGAAACTGATCACAACATTCGTGAGACCTAAACTAAAATATGCAGCAGTTGTGTAGTGTAAAGATATGAAACTAAATGGCTCCGGATAAAGCTGCTCCACCAGGGATCCAAGAAGAAACAAATACATTCTATTACAATACTCTCCTGCCAAGGAGGGAAAGTATACTGTAGTAGCTACATCAGCTACTACAGTAAATCAACCAATCAATAAATAAATTCAATAAACCACCACAGTACAGATTCTGTACTGATAGTTGGTATGGTAACATCCACACACTTCTCCAGATCATTCTTCAACTTGTCAGCAAGGAGCCTTGTTGCTTGCATGCACCGATAGATGGGTATATATATAAGAAGACGAGACCAGTTAGGCAAAGACCACTGTTGCTTGCATGCACCAATAGATGGATATAAAAAAAAAAAAATATATATATATATATATATATATATATATATATATATATATATATATATATATATATATATATATATATATATATATATATATATATATATATATATATATATATATTTTGGTAGCAGTCTTTCCTGTAGACATATATTATTAAATATGACCAAAAAAGTAAGATTAATAATTCTAACACAAATTTTCTCAATGTTTCTTACATTTTTCTTCACTGTTGATGGTAACTGAAAAATCAATTCTCCAAAATTCATTTTTATTTCTAGTCTGACGCGACACTTGAGCGCGTTTCGTAAAACTTATTACATTTTCAAAGACTTTAGTTTACACACACACAACAATGTTACACCCATCACAGACGTGACATCCGTATAGTATGTATATAAAAACCCTCTCGGATGCGAGGAACGTTGTGTGAAAATTTCAAGGTAATCAGTGAAGAACTTTCGGAGATTAACGATTTTGAACAAACGAACATTTCCATTTTTATTTATATAGATAAATTCCAAAACACTGTTAACTTAGAAACAAGGCAAAGGATGACCGAATTCACTAGGTGAGGTTAGGTTGACTCTCTTTTAGTATGAGAAATTTCTTACAAATATACCCAGATCATGGGGACAAAAATTATAGTGGAGTTTGCCGAGACTGATTGGGGCAAAGTGGAACGAGGTGGAAAGCTTGCAAAATGAACTTTTGATGAGACAGTTTGGTAATGGTAATAGTAGGGCCATTTGTGGAAATCTGCACAAATCTGATACACCCTGATAACAAGACCTTGTGTGCCAGATAAAATGTGTAGGGATATTGTGTGGATGTAACGATGAGTTACAAGTTCCTGTTGTTGGAAAATTTCTTTGTTAATATGAAGTGACTGAAGAAATAGTGAGAAAGCAAGTTCATATATAGAAGTACCTAAAGAATAGCAAAACAAAGTATAGAGGATACAGAAGACTGAGCTGATGGCTTGTTAGTACCATGCCCAGATGAAGCAAAAGTTGATTGAGTCTCTCTAGGTCAAGTTAGGCTCGGTAGGTTGCTCTTATCTTATGTGAAGTAATGGGAAAAGCTCCTTTTGTGGAAAGTACATATAAGGATAAATCTACGAGAACCTGATGATGCAAATCTTGCATTGAAATTATAATTTAACCAAGTATTGGAAATAGCTACTCCTTTTTGGCAAGATGAAAATGGTAATTTTATTAGTAAACCCATATGAAGTACGTAGGGATTAACTGAGTAACATGCGGAAGTGTTGTAGTGAGAAGTTGTGAAAGCTTTGAAACTGGATTGATTATTGCATCACTTGCACAGTAATTTATGTTGAATCAGAGAACAGATGAAATGAAAAAGGTTACTTGAAGTGAGACATTGGTAAAATAAATGATTGATAGATGAGCTCGCAAAAGAAAGTAGAGTACACCGAGTGATCAGTGGTTTACTCAAAGATATCTCTCGCAAAGTGCAGAAAGAGTATGATACAGACAAACAAATTTGGGTAGAGATTCAGATGAAAGTTTTGGTGAGTGATGATATGCTGAATTGATATTCAGAGTTGGTCAGAGGATAGTTGTAAAGTTACGAATGAACACTATAATCGGTTAGGTTAGTTTGGCGAGTTGTGATGAGTGTGTGTAGAAGTGTGAAAGCGAAATTTTTTGTGTTTGAAATTGTGGAATGAGCGACTGTTTGTATATATTAGAGACATCTAGTGAGTGTGATGTCTCTACCTAAGATGTGATGATCTACCTAATGTATGGTATTCAACTGTACGAAGGAGGTGAATCTGAGAAGCTCTGTTTTCTTCTTAACAAAGTGAGTAAAGTACTGAACTTTGTACGAATACCGGGAACAGCACTTATGCAAACAAGTATTGTTAATGTGACCAAGAACACTTTCTGGGTGAGAATAAGGTTTGTATTAAGAACTTGTGAAACCGAAAGGATATTTGTGATGAGAGAACGAGACGTGGAAATCACGTTACCTAAATTAAGATTGATTAAGTGGAAGGAGTACATGCTGAATAAACTTATACAGTAACAAAAAGATTTGCCTCACAAAGTACAGGAGTATGATACAGGAAAGTTGTGAAGAGATCTTGTGTAATGAGTTGGTGTATCCTTATGCAGAGAAGAACAGTGGAAAGTTGTGAAATTACGAACATTAAGATAAGTAGAAACGAATAATCGTGCTGTGAAAATTGTGTTCTGTGTAACGATATTCAGAGATGCACAGAGGATAGATGAATGTGAATTGTGTTGGAACACTAAGATAGGTTAGGGGTATGGATAAGTTGGGGGTGAAAGAAGAGTGTATGTGCTTTGTATAAGAGAATGAGGATTGTGCAAGTTTCAGAGATAGTGTAGAAGTAAATTTGTGTTAGCTTGTGTTTGAGAAAGTGTAATATTGTGCATTTGTGAAATGAGACTGTGTAGAGTTTAGAAATGGGTACTTTGTGAAATTGAAAATTTGTATAAGAGAATAAGGATGTAGTGCTCATGAGAGATAGAGTGAGTTTGAGTGAATTAAGTAGAAGTGACTTTGTGTTTGGGAAATTGTGTATGATTGTGCATTTGTGTGATGAGACTGAGTAAGGTTGAGAAAGGGATGTGCAAGTTTATGGTAGCATTTGTAAGAATAAAAAACATGGTATGTGTCTTTTTGTACGAGTGTATGTGTTTGTGAAAATTTGTATATGATCAGAAAATTTGTGTAAGATCAATGAGAACGATTGCATGCGTAAGAAATGCCTTTGGAATGCTTTGTGAGAAGCGCGTTTGAATGAAAAAGTAAATGAGCAAGTGGTTTGTGTAAGAGTCCAAGGGCGTATGTGACATTAAAAATTGTAAGTGAAAGGAACCATGGAGAGTATTTTGTGCTTGTAAAATTGTGTTAAATAGTTTTATTCAAATGAGTGTTTATGGTAGTGAATAGTGCAAATTGAACAAGAGTATGAGAAAAAGCGAGTGAATTAACTATGTAATTGAGAAAATCCTTTTTTGATGGTGACATTTACCTAAGAGATAAATATCTAAAATTCTTAGATATCTAAGAAATATCTTAGATATCTTGTGTGCCACGGTGAAAATTTGCGAGTTACGTTGAAAATTTGTGCAGGGATGATGTATTACTTATCTAGTTAGATTCTTGACTAATTCTACTGAATGGTGGCAAGAAATGCAAAAACAAAAATATGGGGTAGTTGGAGAATAACCTCACACTAAGC